AAAAGAAGAAAAGAGAGAAGAAAAAGCCAGAGGGGGGGGGGGGGGAAACCCAAAAAAGGGGGAAAAAATCCCTAAAAGGGGGGAAAAAAGCCCTAAAAGGGGGGGAAGCCCTAAAAGGGGGGGAAAAAAGCCCTAAAGGGTCGCGGTGCAGATGTCGCTCGCGAAGAGCGGGGACTGCCCCAGAGCAGCGTGAAGGAGATGCTTGTTCGGTGACAGAAGCAGGTGCGTTACCTGTTGTCCACTAGACGTGGGAAGGGTTGCGGTGAGGTGGAACTCAGGGAATATACAGGTGGCGGAGGAGACAGGAGCAGAGGGGGGAATAGGGTGGTAACCAGACGGTTTCAGCTCTTCCCAAAACCCCGGAGAGTTTGGGGATAAATCCGACGTGACATTCAAGGACGGATTTGGCAGGGGCAGCAGCAGGGTATTTTGTATTTGGCTAGAGCAGGCCTTTTGGACAGAAACACTGCCTGGAGCGAAGACCTGATGAGCTGAAGGCTTAGCACGTTGTTCCAGTGGCTGCGCTCGCCCTCGTGATTAAAAACGTGTTCCTCATTTCTAACCAGAGTTGTCAGGCTTCAGTTCACACTCGTGGATTCCTGCCTTTTTTCCCCAAAGACAGTTCTGTGGTGTCTGGTATAGTGACTGCTCCTAAAGATAGGCACTATCATTGAGTCATCTCAGTCCTCTTCTTGGTAAACCAAACAAGTCGAGCCTCTTCAGCCTCTCACCGTAAATTATCTTCCCCGTTCCCTCACAGGTTTTTGTGCCTTTTTTTTCTGCTGCTGCTGCTGCTTCAACGTTCTAGGGTCCTCTTCAAGCATAGGTACCAACATTTTAACTGGATGTCAGGATCATCAGTGTAGAGGTGATATAATCTGTATATATTCTTGTTTCCCAGTCCACTCTCTATAAACCGAAAGATGATTGTAACTCAGGTTGCCGCAGCATCACGCTTAGATGCATTGGTATCACTCCCACGCGTGACCCTCCTTCAGGTTCATTTGCAGCGTGCAAGCTGCACGCACCAGCACCAAGGACCAAGGGAAGTTACCGGGAATACCCTGGCTGTTGGGCCCAAATTTGTAACTCTATTTGCAGTTAGATCTCACCTCGATGCAGCCACAGCTGCGTGGCTGAGCTGCGAGCCTGTCCTACGGCTCGGTCTGCCTCAGGTGCCCGTGCCTCTGCCTCCCCCCACCATCACCTGCCTTGGCCAAGACGCTTCTCCTCCTCCTCTGCTCTTCATGGAGATCAATGAAGCCCGTTCAGCCTTTCCAACACCCTTTACTCACCATCATGCCAGCCGCTGCCCTACTTAGGACCCAGCTACTCCCACTCAGTCCAAGATCAAACCTGGTGGTCCCAGCCAAGACCCCCACCCCAACATTCAGCCCAACACCCCCCGCCTCTATTTTAGCCCCTGTACTGGAGCAGGGGTCCCTGTTCCACAATAATGGTTGGGACAACAGGATGATCATACACAAATTGGTCAATCTTGCCCACTCTTCCAGCATTGGAAACGGTCGTTTACCTTACCAAAGGATTTAAGAAACGGGACATTTATTTACCAGTCTTTACCCTGACATTTCTTCCCAGCTTATGAAAAATCAAAGCTTTAGAAACCTCCAGTGCAAAAGGTTGCATCTGAGTCTTCATTTTAACAGCCATCAATGGACCTGTTCCTATACCATTTACATACACTTTTGACCTCTGATACATAGTGAAACGATGTTACGTAGTTTAAATATGTGTCCTCTAGTATATCTTTTAGAATACAAAATATTATAATTTCATTTGATGCTGGTTAGTTCTTTTTTAATGAGAAAGAGAGTATGATTGTTCCCTATTTGCCTCTATGCTATTCACAGTTTTATAGACCTCTGTCACTTCAATACCTATTGTTTTTCTTCCAAGATGCAAGGGCCTATCCTAATCAGCCTTACCTAGCATGAAAGCCATTGCATTCCTCTCATCATCCTTGTGACCTTTTCCTGTAGGTTTTCGAGCTCTGCTGGAACTTTTTTGAAATGTGATATCTAGGAATGCACGTAGTATACAGGAGGGTTCAGCCTCATTCTTGCCAGTGGACAGTGTTTTAATATGGAATAAAAAATCCCCATCAAGAAGGCACAAGAAAGGTTATAAGAGGGCAAGCAGTAAGGCTGGATGCTAGACCTGCAGTTGGGGGAACACAGTCCTTGATAAAACTCACGCTTATGTCTCACGTTTTTGGAGAGTTCCTTCTTTTTTGGCCTTATCTGGATGAAAACCAGATTTGTTTCCTGCTTCCACAATACCTCCTCCCACGCTGTTGGCACAGATTGAAGGAACTGACTGAAGAAATTCTGATGTCTGGAACCCATTTGACTTGACTGCCTGCTGACTACCTTCTTCCATTGACCAACATCAACTGGTCCCAGTATAGACCAGCCGTGCTTCTCCTCCCCTGCTGCAGCTTTTGTCAATGCTCCTCCACATCGACTGCGTTTATACTAGAGACAGCAGAGCCTCAAAAGCATGCCCTGTGCATGCATCAAAAATCAGGTGAAGATTTTGATGTTACTTAGTTCGCATGGCAATTAATCCCACAAACTAAAGATCTTCCTGCAAGAAATCTCTGTCTCTTGTGCAAATAACTGCACCTTATTATAGAAAGCTCAGCTCTACCTGAAGGGCAAAGCTGTCAGCCAAATGTCATCACAGAGCTTTAGGAGGATTTTTAAAGGATCTGGATCTCAGACCACTGACAAAAACTGGGAGTCAAATTAATTGACTTGGTATTGCTGTGGGAAGCCAGTGCCAAGAGCAGAAGTCCGCTCTGACTGACTTACAGCAGTCCCTGCTGCTGAGGTGATGTGATGGAGTTCCCTGAAGTACTGGGTTGTATTTTTTGGACTAGGTATAGCACAATGTTCGCACGAAGTGACAGAAATGAGGCTGGCGGGAGCCTAATTCACTGGTGGTGGATTGCCAGGGTGGTGCGGGTTTTCCTAGCCAACCAGAACTGTTGTAAGGCGTTATTCGCTGCTATAAAGGAGTTCATTACCAGCAGGTAGGATAGAAGAACTCTCAGATTAGAAACTAAATTGACTGATTGTTGGTACGGCACTTTAAAAAAGGGCAGCGGCACCAACAATGCAAGCCTTCAAAATGTTTCAAGTACCCAGACAAATAATACCAGTTTTAGCTGGAGTCAGCTCTCACACAATTAGTTTTCATCCTTTAGCTTGCCATTGGGCAGTGGCTGGTTTCTAAGTGAGTTTGCTCAGGAAAGGAAGATTAAACAGTTCTTGCGTAGATCAACATCCAGCAAGAACCACTAGTTAGACAGCGATGGGGCATCTGCTTTGTGCCTACTGAGAACTGGTTGCACCGTTGTGCAGCTGAACACGGAGCAGAGTTCCTCCCCTGAAAGAGTCATCTGCTATTTTTGTCATCAGTTACTCACAACCGTCTCTTAGCTGCCCAAAAGGACGTGGGTTGGACCTTTTGAGATCAGAATACTCTAAGCTTTGGATGTGGTGGGGCAGATCGGTGTGGATTTTTCCTGTGAACAATGTCTTCTTTCACTGTTGCAGCATATTGCTGGTTATGGTTGTGAACTGGAGGCAGTCAGGATTCATGAAGAGGCTCTGGCACCTTACATAGCTTGTTAGGGTGGTATCTGAGAGCTTGAACAGATCCCCACAAGACATACCTTAATGAAAAACATCTCACAGTTGCAACTGGTAGTCATTTTTGAGAAGGTGGTAAATTTTTGGCACTTGAGTTCACCGAAGTATTCCAGTACAACAGAAGATGACTAAGTGCTAAAACCAGCAGGACCTGTTTCTATGAAATAGTCTGACTTACCCATAACGCAGGCAAGAGGCGTTCTTACCCTACCCATTTTTGAAGAACAATAGAAGACGTAGGGAACTGCAAACCTCCATACATCAGATACAGACTTTCATAAAGCTTATAAAAAGAAATAAGCATTTGATGTCTGGTTATGTACATGTATATACATTTTTAAACAGCATGGATTAGTCGAAAAATTTTTTTTTTTCTTTCATGAGGACATGGTTTTATAAGGACATCAAAATAGAAACCACATCACTTTCTGGAAGCTAACGCTGCATGTATATCAGTGTGATAATTGTAAATTTTTATTAAAAATTAAATACGAGGTAATTGTAATACTTCATCATTATCTTGGGAGGATGTTTTGAATAGAATACCAGAGAGGTCCATTAACAACTCTGGAGAGTCTTACCAACCTAATATTAAGGTGATATAAAGCTGGGAGGGATTATGCATCCTTAGAGGATATGAGTAGACTACAAAACCACTTTGATAAATGGCAGAAGATGGCAAAATAAATAACATTGGTAAAATGAAATTTAGTCGAGGTAATATAAAATGATTCATATCAGATACTTAGACATACAAAGGTAGATTTTAGAAATGCAGAAAGGCGGCAATACAACAGAAATATCTGGGAGTTACAGTATTATTAACATACATTCAGACAAGGCTCCGAATGTATTTGGACACCAACATATATTTGGGCAAGTGTCCAAAGCCAGACAGGAATGACAATGTTTTGTATGCCATAGCCGTAGCTGACTGGTATTTTAATGTGGTTTGTTACCACATTATGTTGGCTTATTTTTGAAAGGAACCGGGCATTCTCAATGAATATCTGCCTATGGTGAATTTTAGTTCTCTTCTTTAGTTCAGTAATGCCTCAGATTGCTAAATGCCAAGCCTGATGTAGTATCTATAGGAGGCGAACCTAATTTATAAAGTTCTCCATAATTTTCCTCTAGTGAATGTCATTGGAAATGATGAACTAACTGGAAACTCAGAAGTCAGGTTGTATATTTGCGTAAATTTGTTTCTATTGAAATCTGAAATTAATCTGCAGAAAAGAAAAGACTTCACATAGATCATGCTAGACATTACAGATCAGCGTATTAAGCTCACGAAAGCAAGTGGAAGTTCTTCCATTTTTTGCTGGGTTATGATTACAACCCTGAAGACCTTAACTAAAGCCCTGTTTATTGGACTGTCTTGTACTAGGGCTCTGTAAAGGGTCACAGCCAAGGTAAGCACAGAACAAACTAATAAAAGAGTGTATTACCTTCAGATGGTCTGTCTAGGTGGTCAGAGAAGTAGTCTCAGTCTAGTCCTTAAGCCTCTAAGATTCTGCGCAGTTTCTTCCCAGACTGGCCTTTCAAACATGGCACAAGAGTGCAGCCAGCTGCTTGAGAGGAAATTAATCCAATTGTAAGAAGCAACACGGCCTAAACGAGCTGCTGTGCAGCAACCCCTGATTTATAGCTAGGGTCCTACATTACCCTTGCGATGGACTGAAACCAGCTGCTGGGGTTAGCACGCTCAGCTTTCCTGCAGCAGGGCTTGACTACGGTGCATCGGCAGGTCAGCTGCCCGACACCGCTGATAAGAAATGACATTTACTTGCCAGAAATTCACGCAGGGTTAGGTGATACCATTAGGTTCTGCTGAAGGGCTCCTGGACTGCACCAGGCAAGCTAGTAATTTTGGCAGTGGAACCTAGAAAGAGGTTCTTCTTCCTGAAAGACAAACTGAGAGCGTGATTCAGAAGCCCAAATGTAGGCATCTAAGTGCCCTTGGAGATCCCTTAGCGTATACCTCTTCTGCTGCAGAAGGGCACTGGTGCTCCGTAGGCTCAGTATGTCCTCGGTATAGCTGCCAGCCCCATGCAGTCATCTTGGCTACTCTAGGACATCTCAAAGGGAATGATACACCTACTAGGTGTATGCTTATCGCATACAGGCGCAGGCCAACTACGCTACTATATGTGACCGGTTGGTTGGCGGAATCACTCTGAGAGCTGCGTGGACCACAATGACCAGAGCTCCAGCTATCTAATGGGCACTTACACCCCTAGTTAGCTTGTAGGCACACATCTATGTGTAAACAACTATATTTAGGTGTTTTATTACATACTCGATCCTGCCCCTAATCTCCCTGAGCATCCATATTTCTGTGGGGAAGGTGTACTACAGACTGTCTTTGCCACTGGATGTGTAAATGGACATTTCTGATCTGACAGCACACAGTATCTCCTGTCTTGACTTCCAGAATTCCTAAACCGGGCACTTTCTACCTGTGCCAGGTGTAGGACCTGACTTATCAATGTACTCAGAGTAGGCCCAAACCCCCCAAAACTGTGTGGTTGTGTTCTCCAGGACATTAACCAGAGACACAGGCTGGCATACTTCTTGAGCCTGAGCAGGCTTCTTATTTAGGGGATTTATATGCCCTGAGGCATTTAACGTGTAGATGCCTAGGCCTGAGATAATCACACAACACTCCTTGTGTAGTCAATGGAGAAAAACAGGCATCTCCAGAGGATGATCCATACCATCCTAAGACAGGCATTTTAAATATGTAAGCTAAATCACTGAAAAGCTCTCAACAGAGCATGCGAGATGGTAAGTTTAAAGAGATGAAATTCTGCTTCTAGTGACACTGGAGAGCTAACAAGGTGTAGGGAAGATCTTTTTCTGAGATTCTGGAGAATCTGAGTTATGCATTAACAAATAATGGTAACAAATGTTCACTTTAGGAATCTGATGCAGTGACCAAAATTATCTGAACACAGTGAGCATGTGCAATATTCCAAAATTAGCCTGTTTCATTTTGTAATATGCCGTGTTACAGCGTGAAGCCACCTGGCAGCTGGAGTGCAGGCAGCCTTTGATGTGCTCAGGAAAGACATCTCTATTCTTTCACTTCGGTGTTTGACCAGGCTGAATGAACCAGTGGCATCCAAATGGGCTCAATTCTGTCCTGAATAAAGAGACAAGTGAATAAGCACATCACTCTCCTTTTGCACGTGGCAAAGTGGGCCAGCAAGATATTGGTGGTAATGTGCTAAAATAGAATGAGTGCTTTGTCCTCCATCAGTATATCATATCCAGGAGTTTGCTTGCAGTCAGATTTGGGAGGAGTCAATTTGTCAAAAAAATAACCCCCAAAACAACTAGGTGAGCTGGGAAATTTCAGGATTTGGGGATGAACAAGTGAGTGCAAATTACACGTGTTAATCAATGGCACTGCTAAAAAACACTAAAAGCAAAACTAAAAAAAACCCCACATTGTCACCATAATTACAGATAAAATCAGAATTAACAGTGCATAAAGCTGTTAAAATACATTGTCAAACAAAGGTCATTACAAAGCAAACCGCAAACCAGGACACAGGCAAAAGAGCACAGCCAAATCCAGACTCAGCAGGCAGAGCTGAGGACAGCCAAAAAAGAAAAGGACTGATCCAGGCTGGGGATGGGAAGCAAGGAGCAGCTTCGTTGCTCAGTAAATTTGGCTTATTGAGAGGACAGGAGGACCCTTACCAAGAAGGTAAG